GACGGCCAGTTTTGCAGCCTCGGACGAGTCGACTCGAGGCTCATCTGCTCCGGCGACCGGTCGTTGGCCCACCTTGCTCGGCGAGCCGGTCAGACCGAAGCTTGAGGCGGTGTCGGCTGGCGCTTCTGTCTCGGGACTCGAGCCCAGGTTTCGTCGGTCAGGGCGTTTGGTCGGCCGGCCGACCTGGCGGGCCGGCCAAGTGGTCGGCCGAGTCCGTCGAACTAGGGCCGGCAGAAGCGTCACCAGGCGGCTTGGTTCATCGGCCGGGACTCGGATCGTCGACTCGACGTTCGGAAGAGCCATCAACGCCTCCTCATCCGCCCGGGACGAGGTCGTCTTGTGCGTCTGTTGGTGGGGCCCGGATGAGTTCGAGGCCGTGGTCAGTCGGTCTGTTGTGTGAACTGTTTCGGACGGACGGCTCGACAGCATGTTGTCTGTGGAAATGTTGTTGTCAAGGCGTGGGTCTTGCGGAGGTGTGCCTTCACAGGAGGAGCCGGGAAAGGGTGGTGTCGGCGTCGTGATTGTTGTGATGATGTCTATCGGATGACGACGACCGGACAGCTGACCATTTCGCTGGTTGCCGGGGCCAAGTAGCAGGATTGAGGGGCATCCCTCCGCAGCCTGAGCGGAGCAGCGTGAGGGGCCGAAGAGGGATGAAGAGGAAGAGGACACGCATGAAGAGTAGGAGGAGTTTACGAGGCAAGAAGATCGAGTCTTTAACAACGGAGGTAGATCTGGCGACATATTTGCATGGTTGTGTTGAGGATGAGCGTGAGGAAGATGATGATAATGATGATGAAGAAGAGGAGGAGGCGGAGGAGGAAGAAGATTTTGTTGTAGGCTCGACAGGGAAAGCGGATCACTTGAGGAGGGAAGGAGAGGTGTGGAGGGAGATGCAGTCGAAGAGGAGGATGAGGAAGAGGGGCAAGCGACTGCCTCGTTTGGAGGCGCAAAATAAGGTGGCAAGAATGCGGAACTTGGAGTGGATTGAGGCTGGGCAGTGATGAGCAAAGGAATTTGACAAGAGCGCTGGGTTAGTGAAAATGGCGAAGGAAGCTTGGGTGGTACCGAGTTAGAGTGATTTTCCCTCAGCCAAGTGGAGAAGGTCACAGAGGCTGAGCACGGAAACGACTTTTGTCCGGCTGGATGGTACAGACTCGACGCCTCTTTGGGGTCGAAGTCAAGGACTCGGTGGTGCTGTTGGTCACCACCCGCAGAGGTAAGTCTTGTTTGCTGATTCTTCCAGACGACCTGGCGGCTCGGAGTCAGAAGAGTCTGGCTGCGGCGAAGTCTGGATACCTCACAATTGACGTCGGCCGAAGGTGACATTTTTGCAGCCTCAACGTCTTCAGAATTTGGCCACTTGATCCTCTTCAGACTTCTGTATCGACTGCCCTCTAGTCTTTTCGCTGTCTCGTACCCATCCCCCTTCCACCCATCCAGCTTGCTTTTTTTCCTCTTCCGCTCCTTCATCATCTCCTTGTCCTCCTTC